TAAAAATTTTTGATTTGAAGAATTATGTAGCTCTCCCTGTTTCTTTTTTGCTTTGCGTTTTAACAGGTTTTGGATATTGGAGATAGTTTAACTATTCCAGACGAATTCACAGAAGAAGAAAAGAAAACTGGCCAGTGGTGGAGGCAGCTTTTGTCAGGCGGGGTCGCTGGTGCTGTCTCTCGGACAGGCACAGCGCCACTGGACCGCCTGAAAGTCATGATGCAGGTGAGTCTCTTTAAACATAGTGACTAGGATCTGACAAGCCAGTTCAGATATTCTGTGCTCAAAAGGATAGACATACCTTGCAAGCTTTTATAACACTGCCATATAATATCACAGATCTTTTCTTTGCATTCCAGTGTCTATGGAGGTGGACTTTGATCCATGAAAGCTCACACTGAAATAAAACTGTTAATATTTAAAGTGCTATATATTTTGGGGCCTTTTCTTTTTTCTTTCTTATTTTGTTGAAACTCTTTAGAGAATTGTTTTTGTTTTACAAAGCCATTTGCTATGTGGCTGTTTTGTGCATGGAGTGGTATTTGAGAAACACAAGCCCAAAGCCCATTTGTACATTAGGAACTAATCACTCAGATCTTTGGCCTTAAATATTTTTGAGAGAAGCTTGATGAACAAAGAGAGTACTTATAAGAATATACTCTTAGAGAGCCCCCTTGTGCTAGTAATGATGAAAATAGGACAAGCGAAACTATATGAAATACAGTGGTGCCTTGCTTAGTGATCGCTCCGTTGAGCGACAAAATTGCTTAGCGACGGGGTTTTTGCGATCGTTTTGCGATGGTCCCTATGGGTTTTTTTCGCTTTGTGATGATTGCGGGGAAGCGATTATAGCAAAGCAACCCTTTTTAAACAGCTGATTGATGGTTTCAAACTGGCAGCCCACTGTTTTGCCTCGCTTAAGAGGCAGTGAAAATGGCGGCGCTATGGAGGATTTTCACTTAAGGTGAGTTTTTAAGTCCAAAGGAACGCATTAATCGCTTTTTAATGCGTTTCTATGGGCTTTTTAATTTCTCTTAGTGATGAAACGCTTAGTAACATTTTTTCCCGGAATGGATTAACGTCGCTAAGCGAGGCACTACTGTACTCATGTAAAACCTTTCTGCATGAAAAACTAAATTATAGCTTACAACATAGCTTGATGCTTGTCTACTCAGAAGTTAGTCTTCTTTAGTCCAATGGGACTAAATGTCCCAGGAAAGCATGTATAGGAGGGTGAGGAACTGTTTTTCTGTCAAGGCCCTCCTTTTCTTATGGTCCGCTTACAAGGGTGCACATTCCAACATTGAACTTTTCCAGAGCCCCAAAGTGGGCAGAGTTAAAATATGAGTCTTACTTTTATTTGCTGTACAATGGGGGGGATTACATTCAAACATCTGTCCTCTCTAACCTGTGTAAATTTCATCAGCATTGTAGTTAGCAGACAAAGTAGGATGGGATAATAAAGAATGGTAGCCCAGACATGTCCAGTTGCAGGTGATGACCTGGGGGAATGTTAGGTAGGCTATGTTATGGGGCCTGTAGAGCAGACTGCCATATTGTATTGCAAACCCTTTAGATATTTCCATAACCATTTGCTGCTGAGTTGCTGTGGGTGTTTTAAAGTCCACACTTGATCCAGAGATTGAAGGTCCCCCACCTCTTCTGTATGGAATTGTCGCATAGCACTTGGTGTCTAGAGTCCTGCCTTCCTCTACACTTGTAAATATTAGGATGCTTGCTGCATCTTTTTGCTTGTCTACAAAATTGCTCTTAATCAGCTGTCACTTAGCTTGTACCTGTTCATTAAAACCTGTTTAATCAATTTGCTTATTATATTGAAAAATAAGTGAGAAGATTTGCTATTGTGGATGGCAGGCACTGCTAGAAAAACCTTATTTCTGGACAGTATAATATCTGCAGCAAATTTTTATGATCATTTGCTAGGATGGAGATTTGGGAAAGACATTTTTCATTTTCCATTTTTGTTCCCACCTATCTAGCACTTTTAAGAAACCCACACTGAAAGGCAGAGTATGGATATTCACAATCGTACACACATCTTTTACAAATCAAGCCCCTATAATCCCTTTTGAAGAAGAGACCCCAAACTGAGAATAAAGAAAGCATCTTATGTCATATAAAATGCAGTACATTAGTACAGGAGGCAGTTTGAAGCAATTATAATTTAAATATTTCTGTCAGTGAGCATGGTATTCTCAGAAGAAGACGGCAGATTGAGAGGCTGCTTAACTCTTTCTGTGGTCCTAGTCCCATTCAAAATTGATTGTACTAAGCTGGTTTTGGGGCTGGGGCAAGGGATGAAAAGCCTTGGGCTATTTTCCCCTGTATCTTTCTGCCAGTCTATTAGCAGCTTAGGAAGGACAACATTAAATAAGAAAGGGATGAAATGGAAGAGAGACAGTCAACTTCTTTTTGTCTCAGGCTGCTTGTGGATTTAAAACAAAACAAGTAGGCAGAGCAGTGCAAAGGAATTGTAAACTTCTCCTTAGCATTTAGTTTCAATTTTTTCTTTCAAGATACAGGTTAGGAAATGCAGTATCTCCCTTCTTGAAGGAGTTCTTAACTTTGCCTGTGAAAATATGAGGAGAACACTGAGGTCAGGTGGCCACAGACATAAAATAAAACGTCAAATATCTTATCAAAGTCACACTTTAGGAAAAGCTTTCCAGCAGATGGCAAATACACATTTCAAAGTATCAAGTGGCCACAGACATAAAATAAAACGTCAAAGATCGTATCAAAGTCACACTTTAGGAAAAGCTTTTCAGCAGATGGCAAATACACATTTCAAAGTGTCAGTTTCACAAGTCCATTTTAAGCATGGACTTGTGAAATGCCAATTTGGTGTAGGAAGGTAAGGACAGCTATCTGCCCCCCTGAATCTCTTCATATGCAACAGGAAAGAGCTCACCTCTGTACCTCAGAGGCAAACTATATGTTTAGATCAAAAGCCTTTTGACCAGGAGATCAGGAATAAACAAGGGGCTGAAAAACTTTTAAGTACTGAAGGAAGAGCCAAACAAAGGGTCTTGGGCTCCTGCCTTCTTGACCAGAGAGATGTGACCACTACAGATATTAGGTTCTTGGGCTGGAGAATAAACATGCAATACCCAAGTAAGTAGACCCCCCCCCCCCCGAAGCATATAGAGAACTTAAAATTAAATAGCTGCATTTTTGTAGATTGCCTATTGCTAAGCTTGTGCCTTGCCTAGGAGATGGTAAAGCAGTCTGTGTAACTTTACCACTTAGCTCCACTGACAATGTTTTATTTGTTTTACCCTTAATAAAGTCAGCTTTTTAGAAACTGTTCACTTCTGGCATGGAACCTTCTGTCTCCTGCAGAGCTAACTTTGGTTTAAACCTAAGTCCAAGTTCTTGGCCCACACTATGAGACATCCTAAAGCACGTGCAGAGTGCTTTGAGATTGAGAGAAGCTTGGTGGCAGCTTTCACAAAGAATTTAAAGGGAATTAAACCTTTTGGGCAAAGATTGGAGAGGGCTGCTGGGTTATCTTCTCCCCAGCTTTAATTGGCTTAGACCTCAGACCCCTAAAAACCTTACATTGCCCTCTGTTGAAATGTCATTGTGTGTTGAGTAATTCTCTCTTCTCTTCCCATGCTAACTATAGGTTCACGGCTCAAAGGGGAAAATGAACATAGGAGGTGGTTTGCAGCAGATGGTGAAAGAAGGAGGAGTCCGCTCATTGTGGAGGGGTAATGGTGTCAATGTTGTCAAAATTGCACCCGAAACAGCGATCAAGTTCTGGGCATATGAACGGGTAAGTTGTTAAGTCAGGTTGATTGACACTAAAGGTTAGCAACTAAATGAAGAATAATTGCCTGAATACAAATGAGGTTTCAGAAAAAGAGGGAGAGCTGTCATTTTACTCATTTAAATTTAAGAGTATCGCTTTTTTGTTTCCACCCTGAAAAAAAGAAAGAAATTAAAATAGGGTACAAATCAAATTGAAATTCAGCAGGACCTGAATATGTGAAATTGTGTAATACATGCCCAGCTGCAGTGATGTCAACTTTGCTTCAGTTCATGTTTTGTGTGGAAACGTCAACAGGATTCTTCTAAGGCCTGAATTCACTGATCTGTAGTAGGATGGCCTCACTGTACCTTTCAGAGTTGTATTTACCTCATGGTCAGCTTTAAAAGCTTATGTAAAGATCCAATTCTCCTTTAGAGAAGACTGAGAGCAATTTCGTAGCTCTGTCATTTGTCCTTTAAAATAAGTGTTCTATTTTAATCTGAAAATAACAGCAACAAGGTGTGTTTTGTTACATTCACACTGAGAAATTGCCTCTCAGGATAATGTTTGTAAGATAATCTCGCTTTATCTTTGCAACAATTTTAGAAACTTGGTTAATGAAGGAAGAGGTTAAAAGAGAGAGAAGCTTTCTCAGGATTCACTCAGTGAGTGAGGATTTAACCGTCATGAAAAATTGACAAAAACCAAAATGCATACTGACTTGAATGTCACATGTGATTCCTCCCCCCAAAAGTTTGCTTTTTGAAAAAAATGCAGATCTCACACAAATTCTTCTCTTGTTTTGGAGTGTGAATAGGTCACATAAAATGTCTGAACTCAGTTACAAGCAACTGATACCTTCAGATCATAATAGTCCTTGGAACTAACCTATCTGTGTCATACTCTGTGCTACAGAAAAACACACACACTAGAAATAATGCTTCCAAATGTGCTGAGGCTGATGAAGATATGATACAAAACAAGGGGTTTTCTTGGACCCCTCAACTGTGGCATAAGCCTACCTTTTCAATTGATGTGATTGATGGGCATATTAACAAATCAGTTACAAATGAGTCAAACAGGCCATTCTGTTTTAGGTGTCTCACACTTTGTATTACCACCACCATCACAACAGTGAAATAGCGCTAACAGCAAATGTCGATTCTGCCAAGAAAAATATGAAAAGATGAAATCTTTGTGCAATCTTTGGACATTCACAGATGAGGTGTGACACAGTTTCATCTTTTTCTTGGCAGAGTCGACATTTGTTGTTTATGCAAAGCAATATATCTTGCCAGCCTCCAAAAGCCCATGGGAATATCAGGTGGAGAAGGTGTCAGAAAATGAGGAAGCCAATATCTTGTGGGATTTCTGGATTCAAACTGATAGACACCATGAACACAACACACCAGACATAGTAGTACAGTGGTGCCTCGCAAGACGAATGCCTTGTGGGACAAAAAACTTGCAAGGCAAAAGGGTCTTGAGAGTTTTTTGTCTTGCGAGGCGTGTTTCCCAGAGGAATGCATTGAAATTTAATTAATGCGTTCCTATGGGGAAAAAAGTCAGAAACAAAAGTCAGCAAAAAGTCACTTACCAGGTACAGTAGACTGAGTCCAGCTCCTCATAGTGCCTTTGTAGACCCGGAACAGGTGGAAAATGATCGCCAAACAGCTGAGAGTCGGCAACCAGCAGGGAGGCGGCAGCCATTTTATGATCGTCTCCACTCCTGCCCCCCTTTCCCCGCCTCTCAGCTGATCGGCACTGGGTCTAAGAGGCTTCCCGACGCTTGCCTAACATGGAAAAAGGCAGGGGGAAAAAGGGGGAAATTCAAAAATGGTGCTTTCCCCTGCCTTTTTATGTGCTGGGCAAGCCTGGGGAGGCTTCTGAAAGCGGTGCTTTGCCTCGGGGGGGGTGCTGGGAAGACTGGAGGGGGACTTCTGAAAGTGGCGCTGGCAGCGGCGGTGCCCCCCCCTCCGCGGAAGCCTCCCAGGGCTTGCCCAGCAGGTAAAAAGGCAGGGGGAAAGCACCATTTTTGAATTTCTCGCTCCCCCCCGCCTTTTTCAATTATTAGTGGAAAATTTCAATGCATTCCTATGGGAAAACGTGCTTCGCAAGATGAAATTTTCGCTAGACGGCATTAACCACGGAACGGATTAATTTCATCTTGCGAGGCACCACTGTAATAGAATGAAGAAATGTCCGGATCATTGACATTGCAATTCTGGGGCATGCCGGAGTTGAAAATAAGGGATTGGAAAAACAAAAGTACAGAGACCTCGCTTGTGGATAAAAAGTAGTCCCTTGTAGCCATTGGGGCTTTGGGAACAATATCAAGACATTTCACACAGTATTATAAGCAGTTGCAGATCTCAGAAATAACACAATCAGAGCTACAAAAATGGCAATATTAGGAACACCATACATACGGTGACAATATTTAACAGATACTTTGTTTTTGGTTAAAACTTGTATCTTTTTATAATACCAGTCAATGCTTTTTCAGTTGACTGTGCCTGGTGTTTTTTAATCATCATCATCATCATCACAATCACAACCACAACCGCAATCACAATCACAATAGCAGCTCCAAAACTGCTTTTGAAGTGGCAGAGGTGGCTTGTGATAGCAGAGGTGCCACTCTGCTACCAAGGTAGATTGCATATTTATTCCATGCTTGGTGAAAGCCTTCCTATTCTATCTCTGCTGCTGTGAAAGAATTTACACCTCTTTGTGAGCAGTGGATTAAAAATTTTCTAGGAAAAACATGGAAATTTAGGGGCTAAAACACACAAATCCCCCCTCAAAGCCATGACCTAGTTTGGGGATTCTGGGGTCTGTAATCGAAAAGGTAGCATTTCCGTTTTCTGCCCTGGGGGGAAGACTTCTGTAACTATGGAGTTTGTTGATGATGTTAGCATAATGCTAACCAACCAAAAAAGGCACAAAAATGTTGGCTATCTAGCGTTAAAGTTGTTCTGCTAATATCAACTTTGGAATTTTCCTTCATAGAAATCTACAAAGAATAAAAAACAAATGTGCAGAAGGGGGTATCACCATGAAAGTGAACTTGCCATCTGGAGTGTCACTCTCTACTCCAATCATCTGGCTTGGGTTTATGCCACTTCACTATAATCTTATAGGCAGTGTGCAGCTATGGGGAGAAGCCAGTAATGTTTTGTGTGCTTTTGTATGTTTTGTAAATGCAGTATAAGAAAATGTTCGTCAATGAAGAAGGGAAGATAGGAACTATAGAAAGGTTTATATCTGGCTCTCTGGCTGGAGCAACAGCACAAACTTCTATTTATCCCATGGAGGTAAGTATTAGACATTCTGCTCCATTTGTAAGAACAGTGGACTGCTACCGTATATGCCGCTGTATTAGGCGACGGGCCGTATTAGATGACACCCCAAAAATGCGGCGCCGGGAAGAGGCTTGGAGGGGCAGTGGCAGGAGGAGGAGGAGGAAGAGGGGAAACGCGGGTGGCAGGCGGGCGAGCAAACGCGCGCCTCTTCCCTTCCTCCATCCCTTCCTCCCCGCATCACTCTCGCGGCGGCGGCAGCGGCTCCCTCCCTCCCGGCGGCAGGAGGAAGAGGAGGAGGAAGCGGAGGAAAAGGGGAAACGTGGGTGGCGGTTCAGCGAACGCGCGCCGCTTCCCTTCCTCCTTCCCTTCCTCCCCGGCCAGCACCATTCTCGCAGCAGCGGCGGCGGCGGCGGCGGCTCCCTCCTGGCACCCAGCGTACAAGACGGGCCCCCCAATTGGAGGCATGTTTTGGGGGCCCCAAAACTTGTCTTGTACGCCGGCATTTACGGTATCTGCTATTTTGTCTCCAGCCTTCACACCTCCATAGACAGTATGGTCAGTGGTATGCTACAGTTTTAAAGATATTATCTTGAGTTACTCATCTATAAGCAAAGGTAGACCTTGCTGTGAAAGCTGCTGTCATGGGCAGATTATGGGCAAAGCTCAGAAAAATTATTATTTTTGCACCACAGCTCCCAGAAACCCTGACCCACCATAGTTAGGGAATTCTGGGATTGTAATTTTCATGCAGGAAGGGCCACATTCGGCCCCCAGCATTTCCATTTGAAGCCAGGATTGGACAAAGTGTTGGCTGCATGTGGTGCCCCAGGGCTCAAAATGCAGGTTCCAGCAAGCAGTGGTACTGCATTGTCTACTGATCATCTTGGGTGTTTCACAGTTTTTATAGCTTGGTTGTTCTATTAGAGGCAATGCTCAGGCAAGCCGGCAGACAAACAAACAAATGCATTTGCTTTCCAAGATGGTATGTACCTTGAAGACAGAGGCTTCAGAAGATGTGGCCATCACTAGCCAGATTAAAGAAGGCGGAGTCAAAGATATTAACACTTTTTTGGAAAACAGATCATTTTGTTGTGAACATGGTTAACCATGGTTAATATATATATTTTTAACTTTTAGGTATTAAAGACCAGATTGGCTGTGGGTAAAACAGGGCAATACTCAGGGATGTTTGACTGCGCTAAGAAGATTCTAAGAAGAGAAGGCTTGAAGGCCTTCTACAAAGGTTATATTCCCAATATTTTGGGCATTATACCTTATGCTGGCATAGATTTGGCTGTTTATGAGGTGAGTTGAGTATTCTGTTGTGTCAGGATGCTATAGAGAGCTGTGTAATGGAGAGAATATCAGACTTGAACCAGATGGAGATTCCTGGGTTCATATATTTTTGCTGGAGGACCCCCAAGAACTCTTAAGAATTATAGTCTGGTTGGGAGAATTCTGATAGAAATCCCTCCTCTAGAGAACTACAATTCCTGTAGTTTCTCAGGAAGAAAAGACTGTTAAGTCTGTAGTGTAGACGCATCCTGTTATAGTATAAATAAAGTTGATTAAATCTTATTTGAATAGCCTATAGGTCTCTTCTAAATAAAACAACAAATAATGTCATCCCCCTCCCCCGAAGTAGCTTAGTTTCATGTTTTATCCAGACAGTCTGTACTAGAATAGTACTGGCACAAGAAAAAAAAAGTCAGTTTTATAAACCATGTTTTGAAGTTACCTTGGTTTTGAAACCCATCATAGCTACCGTAAAAGTATGATCCCTGATCCAGCCAAATGATTGATCACAGATAACCAAATCAAAACTGGAAGTGTTTGAACTGTTCCTCCAAGCTGTGCTGTGGAAGAGGGCTGAAGGGTAGTGCCTGAGACTAGGAGAATATTAAATTTAGGAATCAACACAATATCTTGGTTTAGTGTTATACCCAAATGCAGCCGAACATCGCTGTCCCTCTGAATCTCATGCTAGATAGGTAGCCTCACAGCGGTTATAGTTTACAATACATCTGGAGTACATTAATCTTAACACATTTAAGCATGTTTCATGCTCAAACAATTTTGCACTGCTATTTTTTGTGCCATATGCACCTGTCAGCCCTCTGCAGGGCTGACTTCTTAATTAGTTGGTGTCATGCTTTCCGGCTCTCTAATGCCATGAATAGGCTTCACTAACTGCACAGGTCATCTAATTTTCTTTTCCCAGTCTACACAACCGATCTTTACAAATGATGATTAGCATGTCCTGTGATTTCACAATACTTATCAACATCTCTGAGTTCATTGATTCCAACAGGCATGATTCTGATGGCTTGTAATCACAGATAATTTAAGGCTGGAAACAGAGGAGAGAATTTTTTTCCAGAGCTGAAGACAAATTGAAAGGGGAATCAATTGGGGTTGATATGCTAACCTCAGGTTTATTGCTGGCAAACAGATTTTGCAGGCAAGGCCAGTACTGGGTTTGTGAGATGCTGTGCACCCCCTCCATGAGTAGTGGGCAGTTTTCCCTCCTATTTATTTCAGTCAGATAGGTGGGTACATGAGTGCGCCAATTTACCAAGGATAGGAAACTGAGTGGTGGCGATGTTGCTTTGCTGAGTGCCAATGAAGAGGCCCCATAGCAGTGACATGAATAGTGGTGGGCTCTTGGCAGCTAGCCAAAGATAGTGTCATGCTGGACTTGCATTGTACCACAGGGACGTACCATTCAGCAGTTCTGGAGTATAATTCTCTATTCTGGGAGTTTCATCTAAAAGACAGACACCTGCAGACACCTAAACATACTCGCCTGGTAGAAAGGGCTAAATGTAAAGGCTTTGTGGCCTAGCTAGGTAAACTAGTAAAGTAGGTAAGCTGCTCTAGTGCCATTTGGGATCTAGCTTCCTTTCTGAACAGGAAACTTGGGCAGAGGTAAGCCTAGTAAGGCCACAAATCCTTCAGGTTTAGGCATTTCTCCCAGGTGAGACATGTTTAGATGTCTGCCTGTCAGGTGGAACTCCCAGGCTGGAGAATTATCAGATTTGTAGTCCAAAAATTCCAAATGGCACATCCTTATTGTCCTATGTACAGTACTATTGATTATGTTTGTTTGCTTTGTCTTTGCTTATAGCATTTGAATACAGAAGATGAAATAAATATGTGTGTATGCTGTGAGAAGTGATACTTCTTTCAAAAGATATTTAGCAGGCTTAAAACAATTCTTTCTCTATAGTCTCAGAATACAGAAGGTATGGGGAAAATTAAATCCAGCTTTTAGAACAGCAGTGCTAACGAAGTTCCTTGTCATAACATGGCTGTTCTGTTTGTCTATCACTTCTATATCTTGCCCTTTATACAAGGAGCCTGCAGTAGCATCTTAGCTTGGGAAGCAAGATATAGCCATCTAAAGTGTAGAAAAGTTATATTTCAAACTGTTACGGCTAAGAATCTGAGTAGAAAGTTGTCAGTTAAATCCCATTTCCATCATAAACTTGCAAAATAGCTTTAGGTGGCTGCAAAATATTATCTTCACCTGTTTCCCCAAACTGCAGTGTTGGATAAAATTAGAACTATTTGTAGGGCTGGTATAAAGATTTACGGAAATAATGTATGTGGTGTGTTTTGTGGTGTAAAACTTTCTAGTGTGTCCCTGTTAAATCTGGAGTGTCTAAAACTGGCTGGATAGTTCAGCAAGTTTGGTACCTGGCTGTAGAGCCAGACGTTGGGAGTTCAGTTCTCCACTGCACCTCCAGGAAATAAGAGGCAGTCTACATAGCCTTGGGCAAGCTGCACAGTCCGCAAGTCCCCCCCCCCCAAAGAAGGAAGTGGAAAACCACCCTTGGGCAAGCTGCACAGTCCCCAAGTGCCCCCCCCCCAAAAGAAGGAAGTGGAAAACCACCTCTCTGTACTCTTTACCTAGAAAACCCTGGAAAGGGTTACCAAAAATTTGAATTGACTTAACAGCATGTAACTATTGTTATGAAAGATTAAAGTAAATTGCATTCAGATCTCCGTATACAAAAGTGGCTCTTTAATTTGCCCTTTGTGCTGCTGTTACTACTATTTTAAATCTACAGCTGCTGTGAAGACTTCTGGGAATTGCAGTCCAAGAACATGTGGGTTACCCAAGGCTGTGAACCGCTGTTCTAAGGGATCAATTAAAGTATTATGAGACTGCTATAACTGTATAGTGTAATACAGGTGCACTGTTCTTCCTCTAGTGTTTAATGGTGAAGTAGGACCAAAGGCCCTATTACCACCACCTACAGATGACTTGTGTATGCTGGATCACCCAGTGAGTTACCTATCTGACTGGAGAGGCAGAGGTTGGGAGTTTGATTCCCTACTGTGCCTCCTGCAAGGAAAGCCAGCCTGTATGGTCTTGGGCAAGCTGCAAATTCCCAGGGCACTGCCCTCCCCCGGAAGAAGGGAGTATACCCTGGAAAGGATTGCCATAAGTATAAGCCAGAATTAACTTGCTGACATGTTACTGTTTGTTGTTACTACTAGAGATGACTTGTAATCAAACAAAAGTCCTAGAGAGAAAAGGAAAAGAGAGAAAAGGGAGAAAAGGGAAAAGGAAGATATACGTACTCAGTACTTGGCTATGAAGTGTATTTCAGTTAAGTTAATCAATACTATATGTATCTTGGCAGGCTCTGAAGAAGGCATGGCTGGAAAAATACGCAACAGACTCTGCCAACCCTGGTGTATTAGTACTGCTAGGATGTGGTACTTTATCCAGTACATGTGGCCAGTTAGCCAGTTATCCTCTTGCCCTTGTCAGGACTCGAATGCAGGCTCAAGGTGAGTGTTGATGTTACGCTTTAACAACTAGTATAGTGTTAACTGTTACCCAAATGTTTTGGTATTTTCAGCTTAAGAGTTCGACCACTTTTTTTTCCTGGATGCTTCTTTCCTAGGTTATTGCCATCAGTAATTACACCACTTGTCAAAACCCCACTGCTCTTTTAAAATGCTTAAGGTAGATACCTAGTTCCCACCACATCCATAGGTGATCATAGACTTCTGTTTGGAGTGTTTAACTTAAATGCCTGACTGAATCCTTTCATATCTGGGGGAGGGGAAAATTCCCTGCATATAGAAGACTAGCATTTGAGGAAGAAGTCATCCTTCATCCTGTCTCTGCTTCAATATACAGGGACAGGTTTTTTTGTATGCAGAAGCGTTCAGTTGTATAAGGCCCCACTTGCAGTCTGAAAGGGGATAGCAAAGACTGAATTCAGATTAGGGCATTAAACCTGAAAGCATGGAGGGCTGTAATTGTGGTGGTGGGTGGGAGTAGATATGAGGTACGCTTATAGTGTTCATATGAGTGAGAATCTTGCTTTATCAGAGTTTTTGGTTGTGAAACCACTGTAGCTATGTTCCGCTGAATGCACTTACAGTACCTCTGTATGCTTTCACATTGAATATGTGAAGGTCTGCTTTACTTCTGGATGGGTGGGATTGTGAAAAGCATGGCCAACCTGCCTCTTCATGTCACACACTAGACTTTCAAGTTTAACCACTTCATTAGGTCTCTAGACACATACAAGGAAAAGAAAGAAGGGAATAGGATAAGTTTTTCTAGAGAGGACACTCACATACTAAGAAATGTAGATTAGATCTGTCTATTTCTTTTTTTTTAAAGCTTGCTTATTTAAATTTATTTATTTTATTCAGACGAAAGTGCAACAGAAAGAGGTGGCTAGAAATTCATTTCCAGTTTAGAAAACTGTTATTTTGGAGTAATAAATTGGGTCTGTGACCCATTTTAAAGGCGAATCTCCAATTCTGGGGCTCTCAGCAGCTACAAAACTTTACATTACTAGAAAAAAAGGGAGGGGAGGGTGTGGGATTGCAAAAAAAGAAAAAGAAAAAAAGAAGCTTTGAGGAGCTACAAAACTTTACATTACTAGAAAAAAGGGAGGGGAGGGTGTGGGTTTGCAAAAAAAGAAAAGAAAAAAAAGAAGCTTTGAGTGGTCCTTGTGTAGCCCTACGACTGTATTTTGCCTTCTTCAAAAGGTTTAGAATGTTTTTATACTCCTTGTTTCTGTACATATCTTTGAAGGAACTGAGGCTGTATATAACAGGAAGAAACTATTCTGTTTTTTTAAATGTCAGCCATATTATAGTTTGTTACCTTAAGAATAACTTCTAAATTATGTTGTCAGTAACCACTCTTCCGTTTTCTCTCCCCATTCTGTAGCCATGGTAGAAGGCCCTCAGCTAAACATGGTGGCCCTTTTCCAGAGGATTCTTGCTAAGGAAGGAATCCAGGGACTTTATAGGGGCATAGCTCCTAACTTCATGAAGGTGCTTCCTGCCGTCAGCATCAGTTATGTGGTGTATGAAAAGATGAAAGAGAACTTAGGGATAGCATGAATAAAGCTGTATGGAAGGGGAAAGAATGAGACATTATCTTGGAATATGGGCACCGGACCAAACCTTGAATGCTAAATTTGTGTTTACAATTTGATACACACCCTGCGTGCAACAAATAACTCTTTTCTTAACTGAGAAGAAAGCCTACTTAACTGAAACAGCCATGAGCCTTTAAAAAAACCAAATACCTTCAGATCACAAAATCATGACAATCAAGAAATGTTTCATTGAGTATGCAAAATAATCTTTTAAACTGATTCTTCATTATATGGTATGTTCCTTGTCCCGATGAGTATGCATCAACGTAAGCCATTAAAAGGCTGATTATATGGAAGCTGAAGTAAAGCAGAATACATCTGTTTGTCCACAGTTGTTCTGCAGGTCAGGAATGATCTCTGTGGTAGAAAGCTGTTCCTTTTTAATGGTGTAGTGGAGACTATTGATTCAAATTGGAAAACTCTCCTTGGCATCTAAAGTCAAATTATTGGGGACATTGGCTGAGAGAAAGAAGAACCTTTGGGATTACCTAAATGACAATTCAAAACTTCCCATCAAGTTGTCCAATTTAGTAAAATCATTGTAAGCAACTACAAAGGAAGACTTAAGTATGTTGGTCAGGCCAATTATGCAAGGAATAATTATGCTGAAAAATCTCTCTTCCTGTGTGCTTGTTGCAAAATGTTTGAATGTGTATTGAGTCAATTCTTAGATTTAAAGTATACAGTACTTCCATTGCCTGTGAAATGGAAGGCCATGGTTGCTGCATATTAAATATTGGTTCCACATAACATTATAAGCCTGCCTACTTAATTACAGTTGCTTATAGAATCATAGAAAGAGATTCTTGCAAGGCTTTCATTATTTCTTCAGGATATGGCTGTTCTTCTTAACTTGATTGAACTTTCTGCATGTGAGGATGGCATGGGTAATTGTGCTCAAAAGTATGGTGAATTAGATTCTATTTGTTACTCCTTTGAGCGTCTAATCTGGATTCTATGATTTATCAAACCAACCTTCCTCCCTTCCTTAATTCTCAGTACAGCCTCCAGAATCTCCCACCCATTATGTTGGTTTTGGTGGTAGGGTCATTCTGCCACTTTCCTTTTTAATATAATAACTATCTCAAGCTGTGGAATTTAGCTTATAAATTCCAGATGAGCTGTAGATCAGATAACACCTACCCTCTTGAACAAACCTGTTTCACTAATCTGTACGTAGCTGTCGCATGGGTTTACCAAAGGTTAACCAGGGACCAGTTCCTTCATGCTATTACATATGTAAAGGTATGATTATATAAAGTTAGAACCAGCAGCTGTTGTTTATACAGAGAGAGAGAGAGTAACCAAGTCCATTATATGTACCTATTCTTCTTCCCAACAACTAATTAACACGTTTGCTAGTTGCCTAGATATAACCTGATTAATATTAGCCTCTCTTGATTGCACTCTGACACCTATGTGGAGCTATTTGGTAGTGTAAACTGTTTCTAGCAATAGCCTCCATCTTGCCCACTTCTCAAGGGCAGTGGAGTGTTTTATATAAACACTAAGTACCTGCCTTTGCATTTTATATCATCTTCTGATTTGGGTCAGAACATAGATTTTTTTTCCTTTTTAATGTTAGCTTTCCTCTGTTTTCATAGGAAGACCTTTGCTGAATCAAGATTCAAGAAAATGGGCACAGGCTCTGGCTTTTTTTAAAAATTGCTTTGGGAAGCTAATATAATTGCACAGCCCATAAAAGAGAATATATACTAGCACTTCCTAATAATACAATGCATTTTAAATTAATGGTTGTATAGCAAGTACTCTTCAGGAGGCTTTTTGAAAGATGTAATTGTGAGCACAACCTGTAGAGCATGTCACCTTTATTCATTCCAATGGAGGTAGGATTGGTGGGGCCCAGTGGTTATGGCCTTCATTTATGGAAGGCATAATCCAATTTTTGGGTTGTATCCTGTCCTACTGTGAAAACATTCACTATATTTGCACTCAATCAAAACCAAATAATTAACTGTTTAAGCAAAAACTAAGCATCTTTTTATTTTTAAAATCTGAGGTTGCATGTTATTGTATATTTACCTACGTATCTGTGCATGTAACTTTCTAAATCCTACTTTCTCCTAAAAGTAGGCTTATTTTGCATGTGGTTCTATGCAGGATGTGCTTGTATAAGTGCCTTTGTGAAAATATTGGAGTTGGTGATTAGTTCCTGCCTATTCAGAGACCACACGATACAATGCAAACAATGACATTCCCTTACTATATGCTTACAGAGGGCTGGGTTCTAATTGTGTTGTATGCTTTGGTTGTTTGCTTGGTGAAAGAAAAGCTGATACTTTTTGTAAACCTATACATCTTAACTGTTTATAATAAATGAGGTTTTGTAATGCAGTTGTAAAGTTCTTTTGTAATGGGTTGGAAATGTGTTTACTATATTTATATTTCACATGATGGAACAAAGCCATGTATGGCAGTGGTCCCCAACCTTGGGCCTCCATATGTTCTTGGACTTCAGTTCCCAGAAATCCTGACCAGCAAAGAGGGTGGTGAAGGCTTCTGGGAGTTGTAGTCCAAGAAGATCTGGAGGCACAAGGTTGGGGATCACTGATGTATGGTACCAAGGCTTTAGGAAAAGTTGTGGTATTCTGTGCCTTTACACCATATTCTAGGATCATGTAGGAAAAAATAGTTTAACACTTTTTCATATTATAAGAAACATAACATTTCTGTGATTTGCAATGCTAATAATCATAATAGTGGAGCATAGAGTTCTAATATCTGAATATACAGTATTAGCCCTTTCTAGATCATGGCATGATTTCTACAAAGAATGGCAAATGTAGTTGACCTTTGGTATTGTGACAGACTAGTTTCTGGGCCTCTTGGGCTTGGTGGCCATTTTGCCTTCTTCTGTGGGTTACCAGCGCCTAGTGCTTTGTAACCCGCAGCCATGTTGTAGAACAGGGTGTGACAAACCCAGACCTACTGGGATCTGCCACACGTTAACTAAGCTGCCACCAACCATTCCCTATAAGAAGTCACACAGACCAGGGATGGATTTTCAACAAATAAAAGAATAAGGTTTATTAAATACAACACACAGGGAAAATAAAATGATCAGGTGAATAAGATATAGTAACGTGGCTTAGTCTCATTCATACATGCACACAGTTTGGTTCACACAGAACACTTAACTTGAAGCACAGACCCTGAACCTATCAGTTCTGGCTAGCCAACAGACACCTGAACCTATCAGGTTGGTACTGACTGACACACAGTAGTACCCTGTCTGACACACAGACTCCCACTCAAGCTTCTTCTCTCAGCTCTTCTCCAGCTTCTCTCACACGCTCCACATATATATACAGTACAGCCCCTCCTCCTGATGTCCCGCCTTCCACTCCCCATAGGATGGAACTTTCCCTCCAAACCCATGACAGACAGGTAACATCAGTGCTGTATGTAACACAGGGATGGGCAACGGTGGCTCTCCAGATGTTTTTTGACTGCAATTCATGTAATTTTTTTAAAATAATTGCTATGCTGGCTAGAACTGGTAGGAATTGTAGGCCGAAAACATCCATAGGCCTGTAGTTGTTCACCCCTGCCATAGAATAACCTTCTGCAAGATTTGGTTTCTATATAGGGCACCACTTTTATGGTCGAACACCCAGTGACAACTAATGACAATCTTGTCTCTTTTTAGGGCAGAATAATGAGGATTGCAGATATTGAGCCTAATTGTCTAGATGTTAAACTTCACTGAGCCACATGGCCACCGAGTGCAGCGTAATTACTGCTATTGGTGGCAGTGAAGAACCCATAAATTAAATAATTTCCTTCCCTTCCACTTTCTGGCAGCCATGTCTAACTAGCAAAGGCTTCACCACAATCAGAGAACATACTGAACATTGCAGGCTATGTCTTATAGAAGTGCAGTGGAAAGGGGGGATTACTTGCAATTAGGAATGACAATTCAAAACCCACTTTCCACTGTTCTTGATT